TGTTTCCCCCCCCCCCTTTACAACCCTTTTTTTCCCGTTTTAATTTATTCCCCCATTTTGGTTATTTTTTCATTAATTTTCCCCCCCTTTTTAAAGCCTTAAACTTTTATTTTTTCCATTTTTTTTTCTCCCTTTTTCTTTTCCCTTTAAACAATTCCCCCGGCCCTTGGCTTTTTTTATTCCCTTCCCTCTTCCTTCCCCCCTTACCCCTAAAAAATTCCCTTTTAATAGGTTTCCTTTAAATTTTTAAAAAAAATTTTTTAAATTTTCAAATTTAATCCCTCCAGGCTTTTCCAATTTTAAAAAAATTCCAAAAAATTGAAACTTTTCCCCCCCCTTTCCCCCTTTTCCCAAATACACCCCCGCCCCCTTCCCCCAAAGGGGGTTTTGGGGGGGGGGGGGTGATGCCTTCAGTAGTAAAACCGCCAACATCAACACGGAAACTATCGTTGGACCTCCTAACGACTGCTCTGATAGTCTTGAGTGTGTCAGTGATGTGTACTTCAATATTGTCGTTTGGTTGCAGTCCCTGACCCCCAAACGGTTGCTCACCGCTCACGAAGCACACGTGTTGCCGCCTATAGGAAATTGAAAAAAAGCACGGACAAAACATCACGCCGCTGGTTTCAGCGGGGCCAATTTTTTTCATCCTCTCCCCAGATTGGACATGACTGAGCCCAGTTATTTCACCACCTCGTGCTCCTCACACAGACCTCGGCGTGCCACCAAAGTACACGGGCACTTCAAGCAGGTCATGCCCTCTACTGGAAAGCTGTTTTTAACCTTTGATCTTGCTTTGGACGCGAGAAATGCCTCACGATTACATCTGAGTTGAACCAGCTTTCTGCTGCTGCGCGCAACCTTTTCAGCTCTTCTTGGGAGCCAACTTTCACCGCGGTTTGCTAGAAACACTACGGTCCCCCGATTCGGCCGATACTTGGCCTATCGTAGAGATAAAAAGACCATAGAACGAATCCCATGATGTGCACGATTAGGGATCTCCATTACAGCGTCCGCGGTTGGCCTGCGAAAGTCGGCCCAAATTCAAGTCTAAACTCCAGTAGTCAGCAGAGTGGCCTCCAGAACGATCATACGTCTACCTCCGAAAACATCATAGAAATCCAAGCCATGGAAGCACGCAATGGACTTAAAACGCGTTTGCTGAATACCTAACCTAAACCAAATCAGACAAAAACTGGTATGTGTGCCTCTTTACATGTGGGCAACGCATAGATGATGCGCACGATTTGGGATCAGCACTACAGCGAGAGTTGTGTAGCAGAATAACTAAAAGTCCCTCACGGGAAGAAAGACTGCCTCAGGACGTGATTCCAGGATTAGTAATGTCGTCCGTATAAAAAAAAACATATGGCAATTTTTCCATAGGCGGCAACACGTGTGGAAGCAGGAACCACTCTCACATGTGCGAAACCACGTCCCGAAAGAGTACCAAGTATATTTTGTGCTGTAGAGACGAGGGTTGTTCTCGATCTCCTACTCTCACGTATGCTCATCAAAGGCAACACATGTCTTCATCCGGCAGCTGTGCGATGGAGGCCAAAAATGCAAACCCGACCAACAACCGATCCCACAATGGGCTCCAACACGCTTACTATTGAAACACACCCAGCAGCAGGCTGGGGGTGGCTGGCACACTCTCGTCGTTACCTGTTCATGGCGATATAGCGCATGTTCGGTGGGGTGTCGTTGTATCTCGTTGATCGTCTCGCTTGCCGAGAAGGTAGTTGCGCCGCCCTCATGTGCAACTCCGCCCTTGATCCCAACGGCATCACGAACGCGGACGCATTGCTGCAGCAGGCCAACAAAGCTACAAAAGACAACTTCCACGCCATCTTGCGTGTGGCTTGTGCAGGGAAGAGCGTGAAGATGTGTGTGCACGCGTGCATGTGACCGGCACCTCGCGTGTGGACAAGTCACGGCAGGGTGAACCTGCCTCCATCCAGAACCTTGTGGAACACCCAGAAAAAGAAAAAAAAAGTGCAGCAGTGTTGAAAAGATCGAGCTGCACCGCGGCGGCAGCCAGTTACCAGCCGTCTAGCTGGTCATTCGGCCACAGCAGTCGCCCCCTTAGACGTCTGGAGACAGAAAACCTCCAGGGAATATGGAGGAATCACCACAACTTTCGTTTTCTTCTTTGCAGAGCGGCGTACGAGACGCAATTTCCAAGGTGCGGCCCAACTCGTGCGCTCCCAACTTGCGAACGGAAGCGCTGCAAGACTGCTTGTTGTAGACTGACGGTGGTAGCGACGTAGCGACACAGAGGGGCACACCGGCACACGTGCCGGGGCTGCAAATCAAAGAGATTGGCATTACATAGTTGCCCTCCAATGCGGAAGAAAGTCGCGTGCAAGCAGTAGTCATTGATGGGCCGAAGCCGGGTTGATCTGCGCAATAGCCGTTCAACTATTACAACTGAAGAACTGCTACGGCTGTGGTCTACTTGTGCTGGACACGAGAAGGTCACATTAATTTTGCCCGCAATAGAGTGGCGTCGCACTGCATTCCTGCGTGATATGCACGTGGTTGTGTATAATGCCCCCAACAGCGTCGCACGTGGTGACATTGTTTAGCTGGGAACTCTTTCATAATGGCACCGGTGCTGTCTAGGGGTGCTGTGTGGCACCATTGGAAGGGTACACGGACTCAAGGCGATCTCGTGTGATGCCCGGCAGCATCAGCAGCGGCAGCAGCAGCAGCAGCAGATGCTTCCGAGGATGCTGAACAAAGGTTGCTTGCAATGATGGAGACGACCCCCACCCAACTAACTCACGTCTTCCGTCCACACACCCTGTCGTATCTATCACAAACAGGTCTTGGATGTAACCCTGCAAGATCGGAAGTACGATGCGTCCAGCGTCGAGGAATGGTCGGATGCGATATGCTCCCAAACGTTGGCTGCCCTAAGAAGTATCAGCGGCTCTTTCAAGTACACCGGTACGTCTGCACATCCTCTTTGGGGTTAAGTTTCGAAGATGGCACCGTTGGCGATCGATGCACGGTGCACGTCCCATGTTCTCGTAGGAAATGAGATAAACAGAGCGATGGGACGTCGACGCTGTTAAGGTGGAAGCTTGCAAAAGCGGCATGCGTCTTTGGACATTAATACTGGCCTTAAACGGCGGCGGTTTCAGAAAGGGAAGAGAAGATTTCTTCAGTTTCGTTGGGTATGGCAACAACGGCGTATGCTGGGAACGCCCAAGTGTTTTCATGTTCTCTAGGAGTACGAAGGGTCGTGTTCCCTCTCTCGAAAGGAATGCATGCGGGGTTTACGATCTACATGAGGCAAGCTTTGAATTAGACCCCGTAGTCTCTTCGGCCATCACAATCACATACGGTGTGTTTCCGGGTCGCTTCTTTGTCGGCATCCTCCCGGCTGCCTCCCCCCCTCTCTCCCGCTCACCACCCTCTCTCCCCCTCGCTCTATTATCATGCCGTCTGCGTCTCCCTTTGTCTCCGCTTGGCTGTCCGCCGTTCCACCTCCCTCTGTGCTCTGGGTGTATTTTTTCTCCGAAAACAGCCACGTGCGTGCTGACACAGAAGACAGGAGGCGGTTTGCACACCAGCTCGGCTGCATGTTACGAGCCCTCGACCGACGGGTGCGTAGTGGAGAGATGGGAAAACCAAAGCATCCTCGCTATCGTGGTCGTGTTCGGGTGCTCCTTGTAGAAGACAGCGCTGCCCCTCTAACAATCTCTTTCGTGTGTGTTTATCGTGTTCCGGGCGATGACCCTTTTTTTTTTCTGTCGGGGACTTGGCGTAAGACCCTCTGACAATGTACTCATTAGGTGTGGTTTTGCGAGAGGAAACCCCGCGGCGGTACAACGGTTTCGGGGATTTGATGAGTGACTAAATAGGGAACTTGCGTAGATAGTGACAGCGTCAGGTAATTCGTCGGGAGATCTCCGACTGGGCTTTCCGTGCTCGACTTGATTCAGGCAGCGATCTTACTCCCTGGCGTTTTCCCCGCGGAATCCAACGTGGGGTCCCCGGTGCACAGGACAGATACATACACACGGAGGAATTTCTTGTGTTCGTGTGTGCTCCCCCCATCCCCCCGCATAGAGCTGGGTGTCGGTTAGTGTGTTTGTTTTGAATAGTTGTTGAAATTTTTGTCATTCAGCGCCTCTTGTGTTCGCCTCGCTGCAGCCACAAGCGCGGCCACACCCTTGTAGAGTTATGTATGAAGAGAGTATCTGAGGGGTAGCGAAATCAACACGCGTTGCGGTATACCGCAGTGGGCATGGGGCATTCTCATTCTCAATGGCATTGTATTGGTGAGGGCATTATTTTGCTGCTCGTCACAGGTACCCATTAAGGAGACCTGCGGAGCTCCCTGTAATGGCCTTCAGATGATCGATTCATCCTTTGTGGGGACTTGGCAGCCAGTTCGCTGTAGAGCCACGGTTTCTACACGGCATGGCATGATTTCCCGTGTTGCTGTTGCGGCAGGCACCACCGAACAACCCATCAAGAGGGTCTCCGCGCCATGACATATCGCGAGAAACTGCTCCTTCGTGACTTCAGCGGGAGAAAGATGCTCACCGCGTCGTATCGATCCGAAGCGATGGTTGTCACTCTGTGGAATGCCCACGCAAACAAGCGCCACGAAGGGTCCCTCGTCTCTCACATGCCGGATCAAGTCTCTAGGTTGGTTGGGTGTAAACTGTGATCGGGCGGCCTCATTGGAGTTCCACCTCGGGCTTATCCTTGCAAGCACGAGGAGTACGCACTCTAAACTGTATACTGAGGGCGCGTGTGCCCCTTCACCATTCGTAGCCGGGGGGGGGGGTTTGTTTGTCGTACAGAAGCGTTTTGTAGACAAAAGTGGCTGTCCATCCCAATGGAAGTGCTTGATAGCGAATTGCGTATGCCGTTCCGCGCCGTGGTTTGTTGTGTTTTTCTGCGTGGTGCACACTTCCGGCGGCACACGTCGACTCTCACCTTCATTAAGGAATGGCTGTCGGCTTGATCTGTAGGCCATGTTGCTCAACAGCACGTGGTGATGAATCTTCCCCATTGTTTTCGTACACGCACCCCTTGCCTCGGTTTCTGTCGTCTCCTACCCTACACCACCGCACTTTTGCAGAAACAAATCCTGCCACAGCTCCCTACGTACTCGACACACCCCTGACTTAATTGAGCAAAGAGTCTTCATTCGGAAATGGCACACCACCGCACGTTGGTACAAGTCTCCTGTGTGCACTACAGATAACGATCATGACTGCCACAGCAAGTAGAGTTCTCGTCACCATATATATCATCGGCGTTTTGTAGCGTTTCTGCATTTGATATCCTCCAAACTTGGAGCGTGTCAGATTTCATTCTCGTCTCACCACCCAGTTCGGTACCGTCTGGACACACTCTACAAGAATGTGGCGCCACACATGTCCGTATCCAAAACCTGTAAAGAAAATGTAAATCCCCATATTAAAACCACGTTCATGGACGAGCAGCAGAGGCCAAACCACACGTAGTTACGTTTGGCGTAACACGAAGTGAAAGCCCCCGAAAAGATGTGCTGAATGCTTTTGCTGGCTACGGAGGCACACGTACACACACATGCCACAAAAAGACCTAATTCCTCATACGAACCACAAGAGAGCCTCAGAGCCACTTGCCCCGGCTCGTCGAGTCGAAGGGCAGGGTCGCTGAACGGCCTTTTCTGTCGCTCTGGCGTCCACCCGACTGCTGCGGCAAGCTCCTCGACTGGCCCCACCTCAGCGTAGGGGACAACTCTCCTCCCTCTCCGCCGCTTCGACTCCCCCCTGTTGCTTCCTTGCGCCAGCGCCCGTGCCCCTCGGCGGTCCGAGCAACGGCGCTGCGAGAAGTGGCCCCGGTAGCCGTTGGCATCACCCGGCAAACCGAGGACATGTCGGCGTCGGTTGCGTACGGGGTAGGCCGGCGCTCCCTGGTCTGAGCCGGATACCTCCGGTTGTTTTTCATGGCGGAACCATCCGGGGAGTTCTTGCGGTGACACAGGTCCCGCGGAGATGATCGCGATCGACGCATCTCAAACGCCGTTTCCGCTCGAGGCCACCGCCGACTCTTCCCCCCACCTTCGCGTTGACCTGACGAGTGACCGCCTCCGGCAGTGTTTGGAGACCCCGTCACTGCCGACGGCGGATCGGGGCGGAAGGAACGAGCGCCCAGCCACCCATCTTGCCGCAGGAGGTGTTGGGCGGAGGATCGGGCCCAGTCCCCGTAGCGCCGTTCGGCTCCCAGGCTAAGAGACCGTACCCGCCTCAAGCCCGGACCTATGTCGCCATTTTTTCCGGTCCGGCGCCACCCAACACTGCCGCTTCTTCTCTCGCGACGGCCGCCGCCGGCGCGGCAGTCCTCGTCGTCGTCGCACCTCGACGTGGAGCGCATGCGCTCGGAGCCGAACCCGAGATCGCTGTCCCTCGGGGTATGGGAACGGCCGCGCCTGTTGCCGCGGCCGCCGTTGAGGACGGGCGTCGGGTCGGTGTTGTTGTCGCCGCTCCACGCCCTGCCGTTGTCATCGGCAGTGGCGGTAAGGGGTGGTGCAACGCCGCGGGTAGAAGGAGTGCCGAGGCTGTCCCACCCTCCTCTTCCGCGCGAGTAGCATGAAGACAGGGATTGCGAACGTCTAGTGGCGCGGACAGAGGGAGAGGGGGAACACGGAGAAATGAAGAGAGGGTGGAGATATCTTGGTTGTCGGGTGACAGAAGGTACTAGCATGTCTTTCGGGATTGATCGAATCGACAAGGGCACGCACGCTAGGCTTGACTTGCGCAAGACCTAGAATAGAAAGCATGCTAAGAAGATTGGATGCACATGCCGTCGCCGCGGCAGCGAAACCTATGACACGTCAAAGAGCAAAGCGGAGATAATATTAGTCTACAGATAAACCTCTTGGAACTCAGAAGGGACAGGCGGCGTTTCCACCTCTCTGTGGCTGGGGTGGTTTGTTGTGCTTGATACCGTACAGGGCGCGGCATTTCCTACAACGTTTGAACAAAGCCATTCAGAACGACATTCTCGAAGCAATCTCCGCTACCTCATCTTGACTCCAAGCCCTTGGCGGAAGCGTCTCTCAGCCTCCAAACCGGTCTGGTCCCTCAGCCCGACGCGGTCCCCACCGCCGCTACCAACCACAAGAAGCGTCTGGCCGTGGCTCTTCGTGCGGATGCCGGTGAGCGTGCCCCCCGGAGCCGGAGCCGGCGACTGCCGCCTCTTCGGACGGTACGCGTCCGGCCGAGGATGGTTGTTGTTCGCCTTGCATCCCCCTCCGATCGAAGCCGGAACCATGGTGGTGGTGAAGTTCGGGTTGTCGCACCCGTACGTCGCCTCGTTGACGTGGAAAACTCCTCCCTCGAGGTCCTCGCGCGTGTCCGCGGGGGGCGCTAGTTCCATCGCCCGGCGACGAGCGTAACCACCCCCACCTTCTCTCCGCCCTTTACCCGCGTCTCCAGCAGTAGTGTCGCCGCTGCCGCTGCCGTTGCCGCCACCAGATCCCACGTGCCGTCGGTTGTGCTGTCTCGACGTCGTCGGCGCCGGGGGCGCGGAGGAGGGTCGCTCTTGTTCTTCGGAACCGGAGGCGGTCCGATGAGCGTCGGAAGGGTCCCCGCGGAGTGGATGCAGGTCGAGGGCCTCGCAGAAGGTCGGGTATGTGACCTCCCCACGGCGGTCGGGATCCGTGGCGGCGATAAGGGTAACGAAGTCTTCGTTCCCGAGGGGGACTCCTAGGGAGCCCAGACCGGCTCGGAGCGCGGATGGTGACAAGGGCGGGGGAGTGCGGACGGGGTCGTTGTCGTTGTTCATGGTGCCATTGCCGCTTGTGGTTGGGGCGGCGACGGTGGCTGCGGCGTCGCTGTACCCTCCTGTTCTTCCTCGCCCCCGTCGACGGAACATGTCGAACACCTGCGGCGGTGAAGATGACAAGCCGGGCGTGAGGGGGGCACGATTCGTGTCGATTCGCGTCTGACAAAACGAACGGTCATCTCGATTCCACCGTGTCCATGTCATGTACAAGAAACAATGTCAGCCAGAGCAACCATTGGTAGATCTCGGCGAAGCGGTCCTGCCGATCCAGAAACGAAAACGTGCACCGGTATGTTGCTGTCCGCAGAAGCAACCCGACCAACTTTAAAACAAACAGATTTCAGTCAACACTAAAGTCGACGCTGCCGTAGGTTTTGCTCACCGGCCCAGCGCTGTTTTGCTTCTCCTGGATCTGTCTGACGCCGTCCCGCAGCCTCTGGAACACCAGGGCCTGCCGGCGCGACTCTTTGTGCTGCCGGCCTCCTTTCAGACCGACCCCGCAGGAACCCTTCCGGTCACCACCCCCGGCCGGCGGCGCGTCCCAGTCGAGGACGTCGCTGTGGCGCCAGTGTATTGCGGAGCCTCGGCCGCTCGTGGGCAGCCCTGCCTGGTGTTGGAGCTTTCGCTGGGTGCGCTCCCTGTGCTCGGCGACCTCCGACGCACGGAGCGTGTCTAGGAGCTCCTGTTTGTGGAGGACCAAAGGCGTGCCAAAGAACAACGTACTATGTACAGCATGTCGTGGCAACCACACTAGCGGCGGGACCTCGGGAAAAACGTTGAGTGTTGGGGTAAGTCTTGTCCTGCCTGCCCCCGCTCGCCCTTTTCCGGGCCGCTCAAGACTTAAAGTCAAGAGCGAGAGGCATGTTTTCGCGATTCTCTTAACAGTACCAAAGCTAGTACGGAAACGCCGTGGAGGAAATCTAGGCAGAGACAGCGGCAACACAACGGCTGTTTTCAGTGCAGACAATGCTGATAATATCGCTGCCAAGCACGTGGGCTGCTTGTCACCAAGGCAATATAGTTTCTCGACGGGAACATGCCGAGAGCGAGCACGTGGGATTCGGTGTCGCTCACCCTGTAGAGAACGCGGTCACGGCCCTTGCTGATGCCCTTGAAGAGCGCTCGGTGCTCTATCTCGGACAACGTGTCCGATCCCCCCAGGATACGCAGGGCTTCCCTGAGCTCCCCGGAGCTCACGGTCTGGGTGTGCGCTGGATAGTGGAATGGAGATGATATCAAAACGTGTGGGCAATATTTTGTAATCGTGAGGGACCCGCATGACAAAGAGTTGGAGGTCGAAACTCGCAACAGTGCTGTCGAGAAAGTAACCACATGTCTCTTAGTTCCACCCTGCCGGTGTAGGTCGTCGTTCGGAAGGGGGGTAGTCTCATGTCGAACGACACGACTGTTTTGGTGCGTTGTCGCTAGATCACCGTTTCCATTGCAATGAACGCGAACAACACATCTACAAACCGAAGAAAAAGAACGGTTGATTCCTGGTTATGACTACTGCACTATTAGTCAGCGTTGACTAGTGGTGTAGTGGTCATCGTGCTTCTCAACAATTCCAACTTTAGCCGAGAGCAGCAGAGCCTGAAGGCCAGCCTCCTCAACGACAACCCGATCTCTTCAATTCAGCATCGCACCTTGGTCCACCAGCCCGAACACGCAGTCAACACTCGGGGTCCCGTGCCGGTCTAACAACGCCAGCGTCTTGGCTCGGGCCCTCCTCACCAACTGACTCTCTTCCGCCGGAGCACCGCCTCGGACAAAGTCGGCGGCGGCGGCATCGGGCACCCCTCTCCTCCAATACCGCCGCTGGCTGTGCCTAGTTCTCGCCCCTGCCGCAGCGCGCATCGGACGAGACCCTCTCCTCCGACCCTCTCCGGCGGTGCTCGTCGGCGCCGATCTCGCCGGCGGGCCGCCGCCTCCGTCCCGCGACGACGAGCGCTGTTGAGCTTCCCAGCAACCACGCCCAGAGGACGTCGACGGCCCTGGCGATGATGTGACCCCCCGTCCGAAAAGGTCGCCCTCCTTGACCTCCAGGCTGTCGAACAGACGGCCGTAGTCGACCATCGAGCGGCCGTTGAAGTCCTTCCGGTAGCGCGCGGCGAGATGCCTGGCCTCGTGGTCCTCGAGGCCGGTGCCGAACCGGCGCAGGATAACCCGCTCCATCTCCCTCCGCGATATCACGCCCGAGGCGGAAGGATCCGCCTTCGACACGGCCCTGCGGAGACCGACGAGGTCCCCCCGGGACCGCAGCCGGAGAATGCTTTCCGCTCGAGCCGCGACCGATCGCGCTCTTGCGAGATGATCCGGCGCCTCGGTGTCGGAGACGACGACACTTGTGTTGCCGGTGCTCGCAGCACCACTGGCCCTCCTTTGTTGTTGTTGTCTGCCGCCGCCGTTGGCTCCGGCCCCGTTAGGCGGCGGAGGGCTGTCCGCCCGGCCGTCTTCTTCGCGGAAGCGGCGATGTTCTACCTTTGTCGAATCTACTCTTTGTTTTCCATCACCAACCCCGCAGCTGCCGCCGCCGCCGCCGCCGCCGCTGGGTCTTAAACCAGACTGATGCTGAGACTGTTCCTGCCGTCGCCGTTCGCAACGACGTCCCCGGGTTTCGGTCCCGAAGGACAACGAGCGTCGGTTGGGCTTGTTGGTCTCGTCTGCAATCGGCGTGGATTTCACTTCGTCGAAGACCCTGTCTAGCTGCAGCAAAGAGCGCAGCGTTTGCAGGGATTGTATGTACTTTTGAGACAGTTGCTGGTTGTTGTTGTGGGTGTTGTAGTCGCTGTTGCTGCTCTTGGGGCCGGCGGCCGCAGGGCTGGCGCTGGTGCTGGTATTTCTGGAGCGTTCGCGGTGACCGTTCACGTTGCCGTCGCTTCTGCCGCTGCTACTGCCCGTAGACGCCGGCGTGTTGGTGACAACGGCGTTTGCGGCGTTGTTGCTGTCGTTTCGTCTATTGGCATTCTGTTGCCAGTAGTCGAACGATAACGTGGACGGACCGTGATTGCGCGAAGGCCTCCCCGTTGTCTCCGATCTCGACCACTGTCGAAGCGGTTCCGGTGCCTCGGAGGGTGTTGGCGGAGGCGGGAGCACTTCTCCACCGGCACATCCCTTCTCGCCGTCGTGAGCGATCCTGCCGTCGTCCACCTGGGGGTGACTGGCGTGTTCACCAGGTGAATGCAATGCCCCACTTTCGCTCTGGGATTCCGCCACCGCCCCGGGCACTCTTCCTGGCGCCGACGTTGGTCTTCCCTGCCAGCCGCCGTCCCCGCCCCCGCCGCTGCCCCAGTCCCGAGTCGCCGCTGCTTCGAAGTGGCCTCTGTCGACGAGCCCGGTGCCTTCTCGGTCCACGACCTGCGCCAGCTCTTCCGCCTCGCGGGCCGTCAGTCCGATTCCGAGCCCAAGAATCCCGGTCCGAAGCTCGCGGTAAGTCACACGGCCATCCTTAGAGACGTCGAACGGCCGCAGTAGGTCGGACGGCAGGGGAGCTTTGGGTTCACCCTTGACTGGTTGGGTCGAGAAAGCCTTCAGGGCGCGATGCACTTCCTCCTTCACCAGTTCGAGGGCGCGCGGAGGGGGCACCGGCGGGGGCGCCGAGTGGATGATGTACTCGCCAATGTCGTACGGAACGTCTCGGTGGGTCGGTGACCCGGCCGCAGTTGAGCATGTGACTTGGTTGGAGATCTTCGGCCACCCGTGAAAATAAAAAGGCGCGTGGTTTTGCAATGGTTAGTAACAGCCTCACGTGCCACGGACGTAGACCCTCCACAACAACGCCGGCGCCGATACAATTGTATCGGGTGTGTATCGTACGCGAGAGCACAAAAATAAATGCGCCTTTCACGGTCACACCTCGGTTTGATTATGCTTCTGACTGACTACGGTGCCTGTGGTTGACGATCAAGTACCTACCGTAGTGCGCGCAGTCATGCATGCAATACCTGTCGGCGAGAAAGGTCGCTGCAGTACTGGCTCGTTGGACGTTTAATGGCTGGAGCAGCGGGTGTTGCAGAAAGCCGCGTGCGCAGAAAAAACAACTCCTTCTGGCTACGTGTAGGTCACGACCCTTGTCAACAACAATCAACACAACTCGCCTCTTGAGGATGAGTGTGAACTTGAACACATCGTGCCACAATGTGTACTCTTGACGAAATGGTTGCATCACCCTGTGTACAGTGCATTCTTCCTGCTTGAAAGAGAAGCTCAGAAATCAGGATGAAGGTTACGCTCACTCACTCTTTGTTGCTCCTTTCGTGTAAGGTATTGATCGCGGTAGCTCGATGTCACGCGCGTCGACCCGGTTCTCTCGTTGTTGTAATTGTGGAGCTTGTGCATCAACCGCGGGATCTGATCAAGTGTCCCATTGATCTCGGGACGCTGGCCACGAAAAACAGACAACGAAAATGAGAGGGAATATGGTGCAGCTCTACACCAGCCGTATTGACGAGGGTTCCGTGTGTCATACAAGTACGCGAACATGTCGTGCCATGGAGCATTTTTACGGGGAGACTCTCAAGACTCTATTGTTTGTAGTGCAGGTGTCCGCTGCTTTCTTGCACAGCTCGGTTATCTCCGTCTAGCCAACCACCCTGATTGATTATGGTACATTCACGAAAGGACCTCTGTGATGCCTCGAAGGCAACTATGCGCTTGCAAACGCGCGGGACGGGGCCGCTTGAAACCACTCAAATAGTCAATGTTGACCTTCGTAACCATTCACCTGCTGCTGAGCGACGTTGTCATTGGGACTGCTGGTGGCAACCTCCATTGGCCCCACAGCTTCGACCCCCCAACTTCCGCCTTGGGAAGCCCGCCGGCGAATCTCGCCAGCGTCGGGCATACAGCTGCTGAGCGTAAATGGAGGGAGTCAAGCGAAGGTGACCGCAAAGAGAGCAACTTCAGCCTTCAGGCCGCGTGCGGGGAGGTGGCCGGGACGACGATACTCATCAGTCGGTCTGTTCGCGACGTATATTGGCGGTTTCACGCGAACACACAATCGAATGCGGTACGACTCCTGTCGGTTCGAGATCACAGTCAACCTAGAGCAAGCAATCAGAGGCGTACAGTGTACGGTACGTCGTACGCATACCCTGTGCAACACCGCCGTAGATAAAGTGTATGTTTCGCGTATTCTGTTGGCCTCGCATACGTTGGTGAGGAAGATGGTATGGCCTATGTACTATGTACAGCAGTTGCCCCAGAGGCTTCTTCTTTGCTGTACCTTTTCGTCAAACGTCATAATAGACTATCTGCGTATCACAGAAATAGTATGTACACTAATGGGTAGAGTATTTCTGTGTGTGTATTTATTGTTCCTTAATTAATGTACACTGCCGTAGGCATAGGCAGGGTTGGATTCAACCACAGACTTACGTATTTTTTAGCAGGATTATTCGTGGGAGCGGGGTCGCAACCAACCGTTGCTTGGCGCTTCGTCTCGATTTAAGTGGCTGGAAAAGAAGAGCTGGTGGGAATGATGTGAGGTTTTTGCTATCTAAGGGACTCGAGGGGTAAACTCTAAGCTTATCATGTTACATTGCACGTATACAGCAGTGCGCACGTAACAGGGACCTTGATCTTACCCAATGGCACTGACGTATTTTCCTTGGTCCAGCCAGTTAGCTAGTGCGGTCGATGCTAACAATATTCAATACACAGATCGTCACACGCAGCCGACCGTCCGTTGTCAATCGAGGAACTTGCACCCTCTCTCCGTGAGGGGACGCCTGGATGGTGTAGCTTGTTGTCCACAGGGGAACCTCAGCCGAGCACTCGGCACGAACGAGTCTTCCGACTCGGAGCCAATCGTCCCGGCGGTTCAAAGGCATCAAATAGACAGACCAGCTAGAAAAATTCGAAGTACCGTAGATCATCTTAGGGCGGTAGAAAATCTTCGGGCTGGCACAACGCCGTTCCGAATCCATTCCCAGTCTACGGGACCGACTAGAGATATCCCTCGTGACGAGCAACATCCCCGACATCATCGTAGTGCGGCTAGTTGACCCACGGCACCTGAACCGCCCGGAGATAGATGGTCGACATCAAACTAATACGTACAGATCCCGAGCATGCCTCGACACCATCGTGTACTTCAGGGTGTGTGACGGCTCGAACGCTGCAATACTTGTCGCCCAAGGCGACGCATGATGAGCCTGTACGCAATTGAGACGGAAGAAGAAGACGACTAGAATCAAGTCTAACAAATGAAAACCCAACACGGGCGCTCCTACTGGCACAACTGACCTACCCCTGAGACACAGCGACACACACTGCTTGCTTGCAGTAGCACACAGCGCTTTCACGGTGGCTGCAACCCCCGACTCAAAACCCCTTACAAGTACGAACAATAGGCGAGAGCGCATCGTCCTTCCAACACCCACAGCCAAGCCATCAAACGCTTTCAGCATATCGCTTGCAGCCTCAGCATGTGCCCATTGCCCTGGTGGCCTTCTTTCACTATCCCCGCGGGAAAAAATCCGAATAACGCAGTCCGAAAGTGGCAAGATTGCGGTGATATACATAACAACGGTGATGCCGCATGCGCCCCAAAAAAGAACTTTACAAAGAAAAAGAGGGGGAACGCCATCAAATCCAGTCTACCTAACCGGGGCTCGACAACATGTTTGCTAGCGGCGCCTCTTTGCATCTCTCCGTGGTGATACCCGCCTTTTCGCTGAAACGTCAGCAATCCAATCACCAGCTTTTTTGGTGCTGCTGAACAGCGATACAACTCGAGGCGTCTGGAACCAACTATGAAAACTGTCATTTTTCTCGTCAGTTCGGCAAACAACCCGTGTTCGGCACTTCAGCACCCGACCTCGACTAACCGCTGGAACGGCACTCCCTCCCTGTGAGTCCATGCGACTCGAGTCAGTCCAAAACCTTCTTGTACATGCATGGTAGAGAGAGGGGGTGTGTGTGTGCCACCCCACTCCCTCCAAAAACACAATCACCTCTGTCTGCCAGCCCATACAAGAAGAGCGCTTCACGCGCATCGAACGAAACACAGCAGCAAAGCCAACCGCGGCGGGGTAGTCGATCTCTTAGTTCCTATCGTCCAGATCCCTGCAACATGATCGGAACAACATTGGGACAAACCTGTAACGAGGACATGCAACCGCTGCGTACCCCCCACACACCTCTCTACCCCTCCCCACACCACCAACAAAAGAACGAGAACCCACCCCTCCCGCCGATGCTACGCTATCACTTGTTGTTCTTGAACGGTTTTCCACCCCCTGTCCCGTTAGAGGCGCCCCCTTTGTAGGTGGCCTTGCCCCAGTTCCACGGAACGTACTTGTGCTTGATCATATGCTTCACCTGCCGCTTCATTGTCAAGAACTTTTGTCCGGGCGAGCATAAGGGGGAGGGGGGGCAAAGGGGGTTTATTGATCTGAGACGTACTCGGAGTTCACACATATATCCACGAGCGAAGCGACGTAAGATAAAGGGAAAGGGAACAAAACAGTAATCAACAACAACAACTGTCATCGCTCTGCACTGGACACGCACAGGAAACTCGAGGTGAAAAACAAGAGCGCGACAGGTGAGCTTGTCTTACTCCAACGATGGCCACGTTCGCTCGGGAACCAAGCTTCAGAACAAAAAAAAATGTGTCGATACCTACGTGTCTGGTTTAGTGGACGAACGCAACCCAGAAGGTACGGCGATTATCATGCCTTGACTCGGACACACAAAAAAAACTTCTCCCGCAAGAATCTACATCCTTGATTACGCCCCTCTATGTACATCTTTCAAGATTAAGGTACGCTGTCAGATCTTCGGCCTTCAAAAAGTTACGCACAAGTTTTGAGATGCCCTACTTTAGGGCACTGCGGTTGGGTGATGTCCACAGTCCCATCCCATCACCACAACCCAGCTCTAAACTTTTTACCAAGAGTCTCCTCAAGCTTTGAGATGCTCTACTTTAGGGCGCTGCGGTTGGGCGATGTCCACAGTCGCGTCCTGTCAGCATAACGTTGCCAAGAGTCTCCTCGACCTCGATTAGTTCGCGGTACCATAGAAGGAATATGAAAGAAGCTGGTAAGGGTAGGTCTTAACGAAGAAACCAGATCTCGAAATCACATTCAGATTTGGTTACAAGACCGGAAGATCTACAGAAGTCTCTTGCTGATTGGCTGAAAGTTATCCCACCGGTCGAATCTTTAGGACTTACAACAGGACGACCCAAAACCAAATCGGGATTTGAAAAAAGGTTAAATGATTCAATCGAACCCCGATTTGGGTGAACCGCAACCATAGTTGCGGGACCACGGTCTACTCGCATGCACGGCGCGTGCCCACCTACCCCCATCTACACGAACTCCATCGACCGCCGAGCACAGAGGAGAGAGAGAGCACAAAAAGCCAACCCCAAGGGAGGGTGACTGCGCATCGTTGTTGCACGTGACTGGCGCCGAAGAAAAACGTGTGTGGGATGTGTTGGTCTGTGGGGCAATCTCCCGTGGGTTGTCGAACCTCAAATGCACAGACGAATTGGTGGCTTTCCGTCGGACGAGGCTCGATTCAAAGTCCCACATGCATAGGCATCGTGTCAGTACCGCACATAGGCCATGTACGCGTTTGGCGTGTGCGTCTCGGGAGCAATAGCTCCCCATGTGGTGTGGCCACATCATAACGGTACGTCACAACAGCAATCTGGCAGTTGGCAAGCGGCGGACCTCTCGGGTTGTTCACGGTGGACTGCAGAGATTCGTTTCCATTCGGCAGATCTCCCGATAAGACACACCGGCCATTTCTGTCCGGATTTGGGTAGATCCGACTCTTTTTTTATTATATCGAATTGTGATTTCGAGATGTGATTTCTTCGTTAAGACCTACCCTAACAGCAGGCGTTTTCGAAAAATCGATCTACTGCCAATTGAGAGCAAAGAAGGTAGTGAAAGAGAAATTACACCAAAAGCAAATGCAAATCTCCACGCAGCTAAAAACACCCCATTGTTCACTCACCATGAGGACTATGAAGTAGATGAGGAGTATCGGCCAGAAGACGGGGATGTCGAAAAGGCTAAAAAACGTCATGCCGAACGCCATCAGCAGCCCTTTCTGCGAGGACAGCCAGAACTGGAACTCCGGCAGGCGTCGGCTGAACGGCCTGTCGAGAAGACAAGCACGAGGCGAAAACGACCAGATGATCGACTATCGAAACCTACATTTCCTTATGATCTGCCAGGACGCCGGAACAAAGGAAAGTATCACCACTGCAGAACTGCGGACGGAGCCTTGAAGTCGGTCGGGTATGAAAATACGGGGTTGTCCGGCAATGGTACAGCGAGAGCAGCAGTTTGCTGTGCAGGGCGACCGCCATTGCGAGAGAAACCACGAAACACTTTCGTGACGCTGCAATTGTAGGGATTGACCGATACTTCCCGGAGAGTGCTATCGTGATGATTCAACTAGCGAATCAACCTTGGGTGTCTACGTACCACGAGAATTAATTTTTCCCTTGCGGCATGATCGACCTTATTTTTTCGGGGGAGCCTCATGAATCAGAAGGGCGATCGGGGGGGCATCTCGCCCGCCCGCCCGCCCCCCCCCCGGTTTTTGCTCACACGCGTCCACAACAACACACATTGAACGCACGCGCGGCAGAAGGTGCACGAGTTCGAGCTTCCTCTTCCCAAACCAAGGACAACGGCGACGAAAACAAACGTCAAAAGCTAGCGGCGATCGTCCAAGAGGTTCCCATTGAAACATTGAGAGGAAATCCACACACCGACAACACATAACCTTGCGGTGAAAGCACAGGCAAAGGTAATTTCTTCGCGTGTCTACAGGCTACGATACAAAGATATGTATGCCGATTCAGCAATAGTAAGAACAAACATGATCGATTCCCAAGGTGATGGGTTTGATGGTGTACTTACCTGAATTCATCCGACCCCGACGTTGGAAGCCCCGGCCCCTCCGACTCCGGATCAATCTTTTCGTTGGGTGTTTCGATTTCGGTTCGGGGGGGGGGGGGGGGACAAAACCCGGGAGGGGGGGAAAAAAGGGGCGGGAAACAAGAA